GCTGGTGAGTGCCCTGCTGATGCTGTCAGATTCTGCTCTGTAGAAAGTGACAATTTAGGGACATCAGATCCTGTCAATGATTTCTTACTCAGTCAGCCTGATGAGGAACAAGCTACAAATGATAGTGGTCTTATAAGGCTTGCAGATGCAAATACACCGTCGCTCGCATCTGACGGGTTAAACTCATTTGCCAATATGATAGATGAAGCTGCTGCTGGTTATGAAGATGAGGCTGTCTTACGGGAAGTTGAAGAAATAGAGAAGGCTGAGAGATTGAGGAAAGGAAAAGGTTTGCCAAACGCTGAAGGAGAGTCTGAAGATACATTTACGGATGGTGTTCTTCATTCAAGGTCAAGTGATGATGGGCTCAAGGACTCTCAGTACTGGATTGATTTGTTTGATGAGCAGTATCCTCTGCATTGGCCTGAATCTCTACAGGAAATGGGTCAACTGTCCCTTGGTGAAGACCCACAGGTTGGAGGTAGTAGAAGCAGACCTATGGTAATAGAAGAAAGCACAGGAACATCTGATGATGATGTAGCCGTAGAAGTGTTGGCATATGTTACCAATGGCACACGTAATGGCGATGCAAGGGGAAATTCTAATAGAGATATTGATTTGAATGAAACTGAAAGTCCACAGCTTGCTGTCAGTGCAGGAGATAATGCTGACACTGCAATGAATGAGGCCACTGAGGAAGCTGCTGTAGATAATGACTTTCCTGACTATACCCAAAGAGAAGATGCCGCACCTGTGTATGATGACATCTATGAGCTGACTAACACTGATGGCTGTGTGACTGCCTCTGCAGAGGAGGATGCAATCTACATTGGTCGTGTCTTTAAAGACAAAAGGGTTATGCAGAACACTTTAGCAATATATGCAATCAAGAGATTGTTTCACTTTAGACAAGCCAAGTCTGATACACCGCGTGTCATTTTCATTTGTGCTGATCGTCATTGTGCTTGGAGAGTATTTGCCCGTCGAGTATCGCAATACTCGGAGAATTTTGAAATCCGAACTGCCACGCTGACGCATACGTGTTCTATTACTGCGAGGTCACAGTATGGAAAGCTAGCTACATCAAAGGTTATTGGTGAAGTACTAAAAGGAAGGTATGCGAATGGGTTGCCTGGTCCCCGTGTAGTTGACATCCCTGATATCGTCCTAGCAGAGCTGAAAGTATCTATAAGCTATATGAAAGCATGGTATGCAAGAGAGGCTGCAATTTTTCAGACCCGTGGAAGTGATAAACGCAGTTACGAGCTTCTTGCTGTTTATATGCATTTGATGCAGAAATCAAATCCAGGGACAATTTACAAACTAGAGTACACCACAAATGCAAAGGGAATTAAGCAGTTCAAGTATCTGTTTTTTTCACTTGGAGGTTGTTTTGCAGGCATGAAATTCATGCGCAAGGTTATCCTTATAGATGGGACTGCCATCAAGTCCAAGTTCAAAGGTGTTCTACTGACTGCGAGTATGCAAGATGCTAACTTTCAAGTCTTTCCAATAGCTTTTGGAGCCGGCATGGACATGGTTTATGACACATTTGAGCGCATTAGCCCCTGATGCTGAGGATTTGGTGTTGGTTTCTGATAAGCACAGATCAATTTATGCAGCAATGATGAAAGTCTATCCGGTTGCGTTCCATGGCGCATGTGCAGTCCATATTGAACGCAATGTGAGGGCCAACTTTCCTAGAACAGGACTGTCAAACCTAGTGGGAAAGGCCGCACGAGCATTTAACGTTGGAGAGTATAAAGAGTGGTATGTGGAAATAGCAAAGAGGAATGAACGATGTGCAGCCTACTTGGATGCAATTCCTCTTGAGCATTGGACGCAGGCCTATTGTCCTGCAAAGCGCTACAATATCATGAGTAGCAACATTGCTGAAGCTCTTAATGGTGCACTAGCAAAAATCATTGAACTGCCAATTGTGTCAATGGTGGAGTCCATCAGATTGAAATTGATGGAGTGGTTTTGCATTAGACGCGTAAAAGAAGAACGCCTTTCTGCTTTGTCAGACCCGATAACTCCCAATGTAAACAAGCTTCTTCTAAGGTATCAGTCAGAGTCAGCTGGGATGTGTGTGAAAGGTGTATCAGCAATGTCATTCCAAGTGAATTCTGGTGAAAAAAGCTACTATGTGGACCTCCAGAAAAAAACTTGTACCTGTTTATTGTTTCAAAAACTGGAACTTCCCTATTGCCATGCTTTAGCTTCTGCGAGATTGAAAGGCACATATGTTCCATCTCTTATATCTTCTCACTACACTGTAAGTGTATTTGGTAATGCATATGCGAACTACATATATCCGGTCCCTAATCAGTGCGATGAAGTTGTGCCTCGATCTGTGGAGGAAACACAATATGTTCCTCCAGTTAACCCTAATGGCCCTGGACGCAGAAGGAAAAGGAGGATTCCTTCTACTGGCGAATACCCGGTATGTTATATTTGCATAATAGAAAAAAACTAGCTTCTACTTGTTATATGTGATAATTTATTCAGTCATGTTCTTGTGTTGCTCTAGGTCGCTAAAAAGAGGAAGAGTGGACCACATAAGTGCTCACAATGTTTGAAAACAGGACATAACAGAGCTACTTGCTCTAACTTGCCACACTAAGGTATGTCTATGTATGTAGCTGTGTTTGGGACATTGGAGACTATCTTATACTGTCTTTTGTCTGTTGAAGATGTATTGTGGTGGCTGGAAAAACTTTTTGGTATAAGCAATCAGCAGTGAACCTGTAGTGATAAACTGGTGTGATAAGAAAAGTTTTTTGGCGCTTCTTTAAGCTCAAGTTGCAAGAGTAGCTGGAGAAGCATGTTTGTAGCAAGCTGGTGTGTATGGTGCAACAATTGGAGAGACAAATCCATGGGAAAGTTTAGCTTGTTTTTTGTTGAAAACAAAGAGTATGCTTTGTAATGCTTACTGCATAAAACAGTAAGCGGTTAGATATGTTGGGTCCTAAATCCCTTTTGAAATGTAATATATAAGCCATAGAAGGTGACAAACAGAATCATTGTAACAACTAATTAAATCAATGACAACTGCTGATTTATGCTTCAATTCATTTCATGATAACATAGGTGGTTTATTACAGGGGTTAACGAAAACAACACAACTTAGAATTTCTAACATAACTCTTGGAAATGCCTTGCATACATATAGAGAAAGCATTTATGACAGAGATGTTGGACGTCGTAATTATTTAGGAAGCAGTGAGGTAGACCATCTCCAAATCGGAAACTATTATCGTAGTGACCAACTCTCACAGAAACCATGTAACTAGCTTGGCTGACGATCATTTCAGCGACCCCAACAGCCTCTTCAATGTCGGGGAGGAGAGTGAAGAAAGACTCATTTACCTCCATAGCATGGTCGAATGATCCGCAACAAACAAGGAGTAAGGCAACCGCGAACCTAGAGTAGATGATGGTTGGAGCTGCTTCAGCAAGAAGATCAAGAGCACGTTGTGAAGGACCTGTTTGAACTGCTAGGCGTAGGCCTTCAACGTATTTGGCTGTTGGGTTACCACAATCAAGACAACGAAGTAAGAAAGGCCGATAAACGGAACCCTCAATGGACAGCTTGCTGACGAATATAAATTCGTCAATGTCGACTTCATGGAGGACAAGTTCATCAAAGGCGAGTGCCCTGCATTCTGGACTTGCAGCAATGAAAGCGCCAAGCTCCCTAAAACCATAATGTCCAAGCCGCCTGACAATGTCGACTTGCAGAGGTTGTGGAATTGTGTTCATGGTGTGTGAATGTGCAGGAGCAGGGGTAAGTGAAGGAAGATGCAAAGTGATGAGGGGAAAGAATGTATATATATATATATTGAAATTTGGTGCGGGTGTGTAAGTGAAAGCAATAACTATGGAGAAAAAGCTTATGGTGGCCAACATTTATTGGGGCAGATGAGATAGAGGATAAAGTTGTAGTTTAAGAGAATAGGTTCGTAGGGGTTGTCTTGGGTTGTGGTTTTGTAGGGGTTGAGTGTCTCAGAGGCCTAAACCAGACATGAGCAGGGGCAGAGAGAGATGACAAGGTATAGTAAATGAGAGACTTAGTCAATAAAGCTTGATAAGATAAGGTGAGAGAGGTGACAATTCACAGTAAATGAGAGAGTTAGTCAATAAAGCTTGATAAGATATGGTCAGAGAGGTGACAGTATACAGCAAATGAGAGCGTGAGCCAATAAAAGTTGATAAGATAAGCATGGTTACAGTAGAGTTCAACACAAAAGGAGATACATAACAGAAAACCAGTAAAAAAAACAACGACGGCACCGTTTATCTATGCGGCAACCCGTATGCAGACAGTGTGGGAATTGAACATAATTCCAAGTGTCAGCATGAGAACGTATTTTTACCGGGCCAATCTGCATTATATGGCGGAAAACTTGGCTAGCTACAGCATCCGCTTCCCGGAATGACCCGACCGTTTCAACAAAGTTATCAATGATTGAGATGGCAGATGCAAAGTCTCCAAAACAAAGCGTTAGCAAGCCTTTAGTAAACAATGCATGGGGAGGAAAGGAGCCAATCCTCCCGACCAAATCAAGACCAACCTCTGCAAGACCATCTTTCGCAGCCAAACGTAGGCTCTCTAGGTAACAGGCGTTTGGATTTTTAGCTTGTAAACAATGGTAAAAGAAATGGCGGAACGGTGAATCCACATTGATAAGATTTGCATTTGATAGAAAAGGCAAAAGGGAAACACGAGAAAGGACAGCAGGATTGTATACAAGTTTGTTGAAAAATTTGGAAGTTGACAACATACCACCAAGATCAGTGAAAGATGATTCACCAACCCGAGTAGCTATGTCTAAGGCAATATTGAAATCAAGGGTATCCATTGTTGGTAAAGATAAGACAACAAAATAATGGACATCACTGTCTAAATAAGAAAAAAAAGGTGAAGGCATAGAGTTGTGCATTAATTGTAAGGTAGGTTGTGGTTTGGGCAAATGGAAATAAATGAAGATCTGGTATGAATGAATTAGGAGTAGCTAATATTATTATAAAGATAATAAGGTAAAGCAACAAGTAAGGGAACAACAAATGGAAAAACGTAAAAATGTTGTAAGAAAAACATGTTCTTCCACATCCGGAAAAGAAAGAGCAAGAATGATAGAGGAACATGAGTCAGTACAGTAAATGCCTCATAAGTTGCAACCGCATATTGAAGGATTCTCGATGCCAGAAACAGGAACTGGCGACTCGGAAGTGGCATTTGCGACAGTGGGAGTGAACTGCAGTCGGTCCATAGCAGCTGAAGGGCGAGTAAAGCAGTCTACAAAGTTGCTACGCTTTGGACTGGAAGACTGTGGAGTAGAAAGCAGTATATGTTAGAAACAATGAAACATAGAGAAGCATACCCTATTAGTCAGAGAAGCTTTCGACGATTGACAAACCGAACCGAGACCTAACAAATTGGGACGATTGTTTGTACCAGTGCATGGAGTCTGTTGAGATGAAAGTGGTGTAGCAGGAGCTGTGGCTGCAGTTGCCTCATGAAGGAAAGAAATCCTTCGTGATATTTTCTGTTGGTTTCGCAAATGTAAGTCATAGAGATATGTAGACTGTAGAACAGAATGAAGGAGTAAGGCAATGAAAGTACCTGGGTGCATTTGCCCTTCATAGAGTTACTGCCATCAACTGAGTTAATTGGCAGAAGACTGTCGACGTCAGGAGCTAAGCAGAGCGTAGTAGAAAGAGAATCAGGCTGCAGTCGAAAAAGAAAAAGAAAAAGTTTGGCAAAAGAAAGTTAAGTAGACAGATAACGTAAGTGGAAACAATAGGAAAATAACCTAAGGACAACTTACTGAACCGCTGCCATTATAGTTAGAAGAAGATGCACGTGGGAACTTGGAGGCTGTAGACCTTGGACTAGAAATCCGATCATCACTTCCTACGCTGATGGCAACAGTTTCAGCAGAAGCTTCATTGGGTATCTGGTTTGAACTTGTATCGCTGGTCGAACGATCGGACGACGCTTCCACAGAAAAGCCAGACACTGTGGAAAGGTTAGTCCTCCTGGGTCTAACTTGTAAGTTACAAGCAGCAGGGGCATGTATGTTTGTCTGGAGTAGCTGATACATTTCAACAAGGATCGACTCTTTAATCAGACGAAGTTGTTTATTAACACGTTTATCAACACAACAACGGTATGTGTTGGGTCTGCTGTTCATCGACCTTGACTTGCGAGAAATAACTTCCTCTGGACCAGACGTTGAACTTTCAGAAGCAATGACAACAGCTTTGCGTTTGCGGCATGAAATAAGTGGAGGCAGGGATGCATCACCCCCAGACCAACACATATGGCTGAAGGGATACCCAGATGAAATGAGACTTTCCAAATAACTGCTCTGGGGATCACTATGAGGAGTCACATGAAATGCTGGATCAGGGAGCTCCGGATACATAACGAGAAGCTGAGAATTAGAAGAAATGTCAATATCCAGATACAAATAAGTGACACACATTTGAAAATAGAAAATTAAAAACGTAAACAACATACCTTAGGGTCGTATTCTACAGCCAGAATGTTTGAGACATGGAACGACTTGCATTTACGAAGGCGAATAACAGTTCTGCTCAGAAATGTATGCAGTTCATCTCCATTAGGAAGAAGCCGAAGCAACAGAGGAATATGCTTAAAAGCTAACAGCTAAATGGCAAGAGGGAAACCGTGGACAGCCAAAGACGACTGTCGGAGCTTTGAGATAAGAGACTGTGTATCACTGATGTAGCTGCCAACCCGTACCGTGCGAAGGATTCGTTGAAATGAGTGACGGCCCCACGGATACTTTAGGAAAAATTCTACATTCTTAACCATCTCAACAACTTCAACTGATGGTCTAACTGGCTGACTACGACAGAGTATAACACCTTCAACAAGGACAACTAGACAAATTCTGAATTTACGCCACAAAGGCATTTGGGGCTCACGCTTTAACCTTGATACAAGTTCCTTTATAGTAACACATCCTGGGGTGTCACCTATTAGCTTGTACCAGAATGGGGAATGACCGGCAGAATGAGTTGTTGCAGCAATTATCTCTGATGCCGGAGGGAAAGGCCCACAGGCCAACCCAGTTAGTTGATGAAATTCTACGAGTGAAAAGCGCAATGGATGGCCACCGAAAACAAACCACATTTCATCTGAATTTGTTGTATTGAGTTGCCGACAGAGCATCTGGTGAACAAGTTGGCCAGATAGAGAACAGTGGCGGACAGGAAGAGAGAATAGAGAACCTCAAGGCGAGGCAAGCAATCTATCCAACTCAGGCATGCCTTCTAAAATTTGCAAAATATCTATAAGGTACTTAGGTTTGGAATAAGCGTTGATGCGAACTGCATGGCTAGGGTAACAATTCTGGGCAAATATCGGATGAGGCAGCGACCCTACATCAGAGAAGAACAAATGCAACAACCAGTTAGACCAAAAAAGACAGAGTGTTTTGTTATTGATCAGCATACAAACACGGGTGACATAGAGACATATGCAGTATATTTCAATAAAGAAAGAGACATTTATACCCTAAGAGCCACATGCCATGGAACCCAAACACAGCTCAGAGAACATATGAAAACATTAAAAAAAAAAAAAAAAAAAAATGGATGCAGCAAAGAAACAGTAAAGGTAATAGCAACCTGAAACCCTACACACATGAAACTAAGAGAAAACTATACCCTAAGAGACACAGGCCATGGAACCCAAGCAAAACCCAGACACAAATAACATAACAAAACCAAAAAAAAAGAACAAATGGATGCAGCAAAGAAACAGTAAGGGTAATAACAACCTGAAACCCTACACACATGAAACTAAGAGAAATCTATACCCTAAGAGCCACAACCCATGGAACCCAAGCACAACCAACAGAACATATCAAAACACAAAAATTAACAAATCTATACAGCAACGAATCACAGAGGGTAAAATGAGCACCGACATAAAACACTGGAAACTAAAACAATTATATACCCTAAGAGACATTGCAGAAAGAACCCAAGCAGCACCAACATACAGAGCGCCACAGTTTCAAAACCTGAATGACAGAGAGATAGATGCAATTTATTCGAGTAAACTACCAGAACTCTATACCCTAATTGACACTGCCCATGGAACCCAAGCACACCCCACAAACAGACATGTTGAGAGACAAAAAACGGAACAAAATTATAGAGTAAAGACACAGAAAGGGTAAAATTACCAGTAGGAGCGGACGGACCCGATTCCGGACTGGTAGATGCCATTAATATACTCTGAAAGACCAAAATTTGTGGAATTACGTGAATGAAGTTTACAAGGGGAGGTACAATTTGACAAACGCAAAGCAAAACAAAAGAAATCGGATGACGGATGACCCAAAGTTTCACCTTTCTCCAACGGTGCTAGAACTTCTCTTCCTTTTGTAGATCTCAAAATTTAGATGCGAGGAAACTGTAATCAATTGGCTTTGTAATCGCCGCAGAAAGACAGAGACGAGTGCAGGGTAAGAAAGAGAACAGTATCACAGTTCAAATAAAGCTGATGCGTGCGATTGGAAACGTCAATGATTTTGTGTCCTGGATGCGAACGATGATATAATATAATATTTTATTACTTAGATTAGTTGCCGATTTATTTTTTTTTTGTCGCACATGTCAAAGGGTAAATACGTCTTTGTACGAAGCTAAAAAGGGTAAATTTACAATGCCACGAAGAAAATGGCAATTTGAACAAACGCCACCTCAAAAAGTCCTTCCCCCGTAATTGATCCAAAAAAAAAAGATACGTTGGATTAGAGTTAGGAAGAGAGTAGGTTCTGCTTTAAATGCCGAAATGTACGGTAAAAATGAATAAACCTCAAAAAGCCGTCTAGATTCAATTCATTAACTCCCACACATCTCGGGATTCTTTTTTTACACCTAAAATCTTTTTTCACTCTGTATATATCAAATACGATTCTCTCTTAATTCTCAAAAATATCACATTCCTTCTTCTTCTTTTTCTTTTCTCTAAAGATTGTTGCGTGTGAGGTTAAGGGTCAAAGATGGTTTTGTGGGTATTTGGATATGGATCTTTAATCTGGAACCCAGGTTTTGATTTTGATGAAAAAATCATTGGTTACATCAAAGACTACAAACGTGTCTTTGATCTTGGTATGCATTACAAGTTAGCAACAACAACACATTGTTCTTTTTTTTGTTGAAAGCAGGAATCAAATTGTTTGCTTATGGTTCTTGATTTTTTTTTGTAGCCTGTATTGATCATAGAGGCACTCCTGAACATCCTGCAAGAACTTGCACGTTGGAGCAATCCACGGGAGCTATTTGCGTAAGAGATAAACTCTCTCCGTTTTCAATATTTAAGTGTTGTTTTGTTTCACAAACTAATTAAAAATGTCATTATATCCGTATAATATTTATGTGATTTTCGTAATTTCTGGTCCATTTCTAAAATTATGAACAGGATTAAATTTGGACACACCTTTTTTTTTTTTGGAAAACAACATTTATTAGGAAAAAGAGTATATATATGTTTTAACTTTTAATTGAAAAAATACAAATTTAATATCCGATATTGAAACCATTTTATTGGGCAGTGGGGAGCTGCTTATTGTGTTCGTGGAGGACCAGAGAAGGAGAAACTAGCAATGGAGGTAAAAAGAAGATCCTTTTATGTTTTTAGTGTGACTTTTGTTAGATCTGATTATTATTTGACCAAACAAAAAAAAATATCTGACTATTGATGTTCACATGTTTCTTTTGCAGTACTTGGATCGAAGAGAGTGTGAATACGACTCCAAAACACTTGTTGAGTTTTACACTGTAAGAAAATTGTTGTTACTGTTGTTGTCTTTTTCCAATTTTTAGAAATTTTTTTTTAATACATTTATTTAATTTCTATTCTTTGGATTCAGGAAAATGACTCCTCAACGCCAACGCCAATCGTAACCGGAGTTATTGTGTAAGTTTTTATACTAAATATCCCTTTTTTTGCCGCTTGATGATTCTAATTTGGAAGATTAAATGTTGAAATTAGTTTGGTTTCTTTGTGTAGCTTTACGTCAACACCAGACAAAGTGTCGAACAAATACTATTTAGGTCCAGCTCCACTGGAAGAAATGGCCAGGCAAATCGCTACAGCTACTGGACCATGTGGTAACAACCGAGAGTATCTTTTCAAGCTGGAGAAAGCTATGTACGATATTGGTAAGAGAGTGAGAGAGAGCTTTCTTAATGACTTTATATTAAAGAAACCACAATTTTTGGTATGATTTTTGATAGATGAAATGTTGTGATAACAGAGCATGAGGAAGAGTATGTGATTGAGTTAGCGAATGAGGTTAGGAAACAACTCGATTTACCGGAAGAAGTGAAGGCATTGTTGAAGCCTGTGGTTTCTCGTGTTCCCGTCAAGTCTCAAGCTCATGTTTCCACTCGTCAAAGGGTCTTTGCATCATGAAGATAGCAAAAGTCATGGAGCTACCTTAAAACATTGGGGTGATGAGGCTAATGTTAACTCTTATCTTTCAAACTTAATTTTTTGCTCTGCATTTATTGAGACTTCATAACATTATATGATATGAGATTAAATTTATGAGAATAACAATCAATCTTTAGCTCTGCCCCTTGTTTGAAAAATCGCTAGGCGCTAGTCGGGCGCTCGGCATGGGCCTAGCGATTAATCGGAAAATCGGACTAAAATCGGGGATTAATCGGGGATTAGTTTTAGGGTTATTTTAATATTTTTAAAACATATTAATCCAATATTATTTTCAAAATTGCAGTAAACACATAAAAATGTATTTTTGAGACAAATTTTTATGATTTTTATTACAAATTTATGATTTTTATTAAAATTTGAACATAAATTATTGTAAAACATTACAAACTCTCAATTCTAATGATTGAATAACAAAAATAAAAAGTTTTTTTATACTAGCAATCTAAAAATAATCGGGGTATGTAAGATTAGGCGGGGAATAATCGGATTAGGCGGGAAGTAATCGGATTAGGCGGAGAGTAATCGGGTGACTGATTTCTTTAAGAGATTAGTCATTAATCGAGGCGGATAGGGTGGGCCTAGCGATTAAGCGGGGAGTAATCGGATCTAGGCGGGGATTTTTAGAACAAGGGCTCTGCCTAGTGCTACAGATTTCTCTTTACTTTTGACTATAAAAATTCCAACATTTCCTTCTGAATATTGAAAACAATTTCTATTATCAATCCCTGTCAATCGCTCTCGTCCAGCCAAGTCTGGTCCAACCTCAAATTAGCAAAGCACTCATAAATTTGAGCCTGGCCTGGCTTAGGCCCGAATTTTTTTGGGCTTATACTTTAACGGGGTTGGTCCGAACATGGCTATAAGCAGTGTTTTTAAACCCGACCCACATAGTGAACCGGACTACCTTCTGGGTCACCGGGTCACTGGGTCAACCGAGTTTGACCACGGGTCAATTGATTAAAATATATTTAATATTTAAAGAGATTATATAGTTTTTATAAATATAAAAATAAAATATTCAAACTATATTTACTAAATATGAAGTCTAACAATAATAATAAAGTGATTCAAATTAAATTTTTAAATCTAAGTAAAAGTCTAAAACCGTTACAAATATTAAAATTGTAGGAGATCGCCAATGACGGAAATAAACTAATATACCATCGCGAATTCAAAACAACTAATCTCGATTATTTCTTTCACCATTCTATCCATTTTTCTTACACGGTACAATGAAGTTTCATCAAAATCTAAAACATCAAATGAGTTTAAGAATTAAAAAAAAATCTAAAAATAACTAAATAGAGTCTAAAACTCTATATTTTATTCCAAAATCAAATGATATTTTTAAAACCCATGCCCAGCCGGTTCAACCGGTTCACTGGGTCGCGGGTTAATAGAGGGTTTTTGTGGGTTTTTGCGGTTTTGAAATTGGCGGATATTAGCACTAAACCCAAACCGGAAAAGTGTATGGGTCGTGGGTTAACCGGTCGGACCGGGCGGTTCGGGTCGGGCGTGAAAACACTGGCTATAAGGTTATTCCGGGCATTATAACAATATAGAATTTTGAAAGTTGTACAAAGATGTGGAAATGATTTTAATGGTTTTTTCAATGGGTACATAGTGTTCACAGTGTACATTTTTCATAATTATATATCAAAATAAAACCAAATAGCTTAATCCATCAAGTTATATAGAGATGTTTAATAGACATGGATGATCGCTAATAGCCTAATATGTATGAAGAAAGGATAATTAATCCGAAAAAGGAGCTAAGCTGCCATGTGTATTTGTATTAGACAGAGATGATTTTCAGTTTTTCACATAACTCTCTAAATTGAGTTTTTAATCCCTTTTGTTATTCTGGTGAAATTGTAATATTAGGCTAAGCCCAAGAACTGTATAGCTTAGTTGGGCTTGTAACCTTCTTATTTCTACTCCAAGTTAAACTGGATAACCTTTATCAACAAAGTACTCTCTAAATTGAATGATTAACAAATTTAAGAAGCAGTCAAATTTATTTATTATATTACTTAAGAGAAATGGAGAGAGTACGAAGATAATAATTTTGGTGATTTTTTTTTTTTTTTTTGAGATTTCTTATGAATAAACATTGTGTTTACTAGTTGTTCAACTTACCATGTTTCATTTTCACAAATAGTTAAATCAGTCAAACAAAATCCTAAATTTCCAAAAACTCAGACCCAATAACAACTCAATCAAAGAAAAACAGTCAACTTTAGATTTCTACCTATTTCAGGATGAATCATATACCAAATTAGATTTAAAATTTCAGTAAATAAAACATTTGTTTGAGAAAATGTCTTTACACGTGTTAAAATTTAATTTATTAACTAATGTGGAAGTCGAAACTATCACAATCGAGATTTGTCTAGGGTTTTAATTTAGGGATACGATTTGCGAGAATTCTCAAAGAACGACAAAATCAATTGATACCAAAGATGGTGCTCTTGATATTATTAAGAAAAAGATCACTTTGATCGTACAAGAGTTTGATCGTAAAGAAAAAGGTGTTTGTGCTGTGAGAGCTTTGCGTAATGTTCATTCTAGAGCGATCTTCCTCCCTTTCTGCGAGAGCCTTGAGTCTCTTTATATAGGGGTGATAAACCGCCTCTCCAGCGATATTCTCGGAAGATTTCCATTTATCTTGAAGTCGGTGTAGAATATCGCGGATCAGGATAATTTCCTTATTCTTCGGAGTTTTTGGAAGATTTCCTAATTTAAGTTGATCCTTCGTGATTCTTCTTTATCATTTCCGGGTTTACCGGAAATGATCCTTCTTGTTCGGAAATGAAGCCTTGCTTGGAAATGGTACTTTGGAAGCGAATATTTACTAAGTCTTTGCCTCGGGACACTCTATGAATTTCTGCTCGGTGAACGAAGTCCTTTTTGCCTCGGGTGACTTGGTTCTTTGCCTCGGGTGATTTTGCCAAATCGGCTCGGGACGACGGGAGAATTCAGCTCGGGTGAGGATGTTCTGGGTCTCGTTTCCGAGCTGAAGCAGGATGACCCGAACCGGTTTAATCATGTCCTAACCCGAGCCGATTCGGTGATTGATCCCGACCGATTTGATCATCGTTCACCGAGCCAGTTCGGCGAGTGATCCCGAGATGGCCTAGTCATAGTTCCCCGAGCCGTTTTGGTGGTAGATCCCGAGGTGTCATGTCTTGGCTCGGTCTTAACGCGGGTGGAATCCGACCCCAACAGTTAGCCCCCCAGCTTGTTAGTTTGGAGAACCAAGCGTGACGAGCTTTATGATAATTGGGCCGAGCCGTTTACTTCGGACAGTTCGGTCCCTTTAAAGTTTTTGGCGATTCGAATTCCTCTGTCGTTTCATCTTCTCTTGGCGTGTGACGGTTGGAATTCCTTCTCGAGAAGTGGAAAGGTCCTTTCGCTGATTCCCGAGATTTGTGCGGATGTGAAGAATCCTATTCAATTCGTGCGTGCCCGACGCGCCTTAGACGCGGACACGATGTGTTTTATTTGGCTCGTTCGTACCCGACGCGCCCTAAATCTCTATAAATGTTAAGTTTCCGACTCATTTTTTCATTTCGCAACTGCAAAGGAAAATTTTCAAGGTTTGTTCTCTTCTCTCTGATCTTGAGCTCTTGCATTTTATACTTTTTCCGTTATACTTCCGTCGTAGCGCCACCGTTATTAGATCTAGGTTGATTTCTCCGATCTGTCAAGCTTTGTTCTTCCGATCAACTCCTTCAATTGCCCGAGCCGGAAAATGTCTCTCTCTGATTCCAGTGATTCGCCCCGAGGCGACACTCATCTCCCTGTCTATAAGAGAAAGATGGTCTGGAGTTCTTCGAGTGACCCCGAGCCGGGAACCACGGACCGTCAGATCTAGTTTTACCGCGGTAGTGATGCAGAGTCGGCCTCACGGGAGGAAGACCCGAGCCGTTTCATTGCTCGGGAAGACACGATTGCGGATGTGGCTCGGGATCAGGATTTGCCTGATGACCCCGAGGCGATTTTGAGTAGAAGGAGGATCCATCCACCGGCAGCTGGTGAAGCTGGAGTCTCGTGCTGGCGAAATGCCCCCGAGGCGCCTCTACTTCCTATTAAAGCCGAGGAGGTTCACTACGATTCTGACGAGGCGGCTAGGTTGCTCCAAGCTAAAGTCCAAGCAGCCATGGGTCAACAGAAGAGAAAACGAGCCAAGAAAGCTAAGAAACCTGATCCCCCGGGTTCCACTTTATGCACAGAGGATTCCCTTCGGGATCTCAAGGCTCGATTTGGTTTTAGCGAGGGGATTGAACTAAGACTTCCAACTCCGAATGAGCGAGCAGATGATCCACCCGAGGGGTTTTTCACCCTTTACGAGGGGTTCTTCTACCATTGCTACCTCTGGCTTCCGATTCCGAGGCCTATATTGGCGTTTCTATGGTCGTACAAGATCGCTTTGTCTCAGATCACAACCCGAGGCTTGCGCCATCTTATAGGGATTCTAGTCCGGAGTATTGAGACGGTCAACCTTGTCGACCTTAGCCACTTAAGGAATCTCTTAGAGATCCGGCGCATACCAGGCCCTGTTGAGAGATTTTACATATCTCCGAGGCCAAATAGGAGGGTTATCGGTGGTTTCCCGAGCAAGGATGAGAAGTACACCGACCATTTCTTCTACGTAGCCTTGAATGAGTATAGTGTCCACGAGGACTTCTTAGGGAAAGTTGTTGGACAGTGGAGAAAAATCGGTACTACGCCCGAAGCCGTATTTGCTGCTTTGTTTTGCTTTAAACTTTTCACTGAACGTTTTCTTGTTTTCGCAGATCGGAATCCGTCATTTCTCGAAGACGTTCCCGAAGGCTTTTTAGATCTGCACGATGAACTAATAGCTCGGAAGTGCGATTGGACGAAACACTTCTCCCAAGAAAGAATTGAGAGAGCCCTGCGTCTACTGCACGGAGCTCCTTGTCAATCCTCTTCCAAATCGTCCGATCATCGCCTAGATCATCTTATCGAGATGCAGGGCGCCGCGCAGTCTCTGAGAGCCAGGAAAGATGCCGAAAAGAAGGCGGCTAAGGAAAGAGCTGTTTTGGAGGCAAATTTCAGACCTCCTACTCCTCCCGAGGCCAGCCTTGAGGTCGTCGTCGGTGCCGAGGCGACTGATGAAGCTCGGGATATGACTTCAATCGTGCTCGAGGTGGCCGGGCATATCTCCCCTTCGACCGATGTCCCCGAGGTGGTAGGGGCTCTGGTTATTGCTGCTCCAGCCGCCGTGGCGAAATCCAAAACTAGGGGAAAAAGACCCCGAGGTGACGGCTCGGGAGTTTCCAGGAAGGAGAATAGGAGTCGTAGTGAAACTCCAGTGTACAAGGACAAGATCGCGTCGGCGAATTTTGTCGCTTCTTGCTCGGGTCCACCACTGCCTGCTCCCGAGGCCTTGTTGGAGGCTCAAAACTACCGCGAAACCGCTGCGGGATTCCTGAAGGTATTGGTTCATTTCCGAGGCATCCTCGGTCTTTTAAAATTTAGAATTCTTGGTACTAACTTAAGTTTTTGCGTCCTAGGCTTTTAATTCGATGAACAGCATGGTTCGAGCCTACGACTCTTCGAACCAGAAATACGAGACTTCCCAAGCCGAGGCGGAGGTCAGGATTGCTGAGGCCGATGCCATGATAGTCGAGGCGGATGCCAAGAGTGCCGAGGCTGAGGCCAAGATTGCCGAGGCGGCGACCAAGATTGCCGAGGCGGCGACCAAGATTGCCGAGGTTGATGAGGCCAGGCGGAAAGCCGAAGCGTTGGCCAAAGCAGAGAAGGTCGAGCGATTGAAGACGGCCGAGGATGGTCTTCGCCTTCGTCGGAAGTTGGAGGCTGAAGTCGAACGCTTGAACCGACTATTCACCGAGGAGAAGTCTCTTCGGGAGAAGGAAGTAGGTCGGGAGAGGAAAGCGGCTAAGAAGGAGTTCGCCAAGAAGATTGAGGCGATAGAGGCGAAGATGGACCTGTACGGGAAGGCGTCCGAGCGCTACATGTTCCTGGTCCAGGCTAGGGCTAATGCCGAATTGATTGCCGATCTTGAAGGCGGCAAAAACGTCGAAGATGAGAAGGAGGAAGTGCTCCAGTGGAAAGCGGAGTACGGAGATGCCGAGGAAGAGTTCGTGCAGATTGGAACCGAGCTGCGAGAGGATCTGAGGCTTCCTCCGGCTTCTCCAGATTCTGTTGAAGATAATTTCGTAATCAGATCAATCGAGGGAGTTACCGCGGGGATTGGCATTACGGATCAGGCGGGCACATTTCTGCAGCCCATGGCAGCGCATGTCGAGGAGCGAGACGAATAAGTCCGAGGCGTTTCTTCTTTCTTTTGTTTCATGTTTCGAGTTTCTTTTGTAAAGACTTATGCCTGGATGGCTTTATCCACAGAATATATGTTCTTTCTCAAGTACTTGAATAGTCTTATTTTTCTTCAAATATTTCTGAACTAAATTCGATACCAGTGCTAAGTAACTGGGTTTAATACTTGTTTATCGATAAATTAATCATTTCCGAGTCGTTTTAACTTCCGAACCGAATTATACACCAATGTCAATGTAATTGGGTTTTGGTAAAAATGAGTTTCAGTTCAGTAGAAGTTAACTTTCGGAATAGCGAACTAGTGTTAAGATAACTGGGTTTTTGTAAGTGTGACGTGAAAAAGTTAAATTCTCCCGAACCGTTTCAACTTCAGAACTGAAAGTGAAATGGATCGTTTACCAGTGTTAAGGTAACTGGGTTTTGGTCATATGGGACTAATCTTTATCGGTTGCGACTCGAGCTGATATAGTCGATGCCAGTGCTTAGAAGCGAACTGGGTACCAGTGTTGAAGTTAACTGGGTTTTCTGAAGACAATTTATTTGGCAAGATATCTCCGACCGAATTGTCTTGAATGCTTATATAGCGCGCTGTAACCGAAGCGGTGAAATGAGCTCTCTGTTCGTGGACGTGGCCATCGTCCGAACGAACTGTTGGCTTTGTGGGTCGATAAGGAGACCGTAAAGGTTCCCGAGATGAATTTTGGGATAGATGTCGAGGTGGATAAAAATGAAAATCCGAAGGGTAAAAACTTAGAAAATTTGAAAAATTTAGTGGGAGTATATGTATACGGACCCACTCCCCCCTTTTTTAATTAGGGGGGGTAGCTGAACTCGTCCGAGGACGAGCTGCCTACATACCCTTTTCAGGGATCAAGCCACCCCGTAGTTCGAGTACATGCGTACCTTAGGTTTTTAGCGGTAATATTTCCTTAGATGCATTGCGTTCCAGGATCTAGGTACCGCTTTCCCGTTCATGTTGATGAGTTCGTAGACGCCGGGACGGATTACCTTTGCGATCGTGTAAGGTCCCTCCCAATTCGCGCCGAGCTTACCTGCGTTCTGCTCGGCGGTATTCTGGAAAACTTTGCGCAGTACGAGATCTCCTTCGTGGAAACGGTGATGCTTAACGTGAGAATTGTAGTACCGAGCTGTTGCATTCTGATAGTTCTGCATACGGATCAAAGCCGAATCTCTTCTTTCGTCAATTAAGTCCAGCTCGTCCAGCATCATCTGAGTGTTGGAATTTTCCTGCTAGGGGAGAAAACGTCTTCTTAGTCCTGGGATCTCGGCTTCGGTGGGAATCACACACTCCACGCCGTAGACAAGGGCGAAAGGCGTTTCTCCCGTGGCCCGCCGCGGCGTGGTTCTGTTCGACCATAGTACTCCTTCCAATTCGTCGGCCCAGCGGCCTTTCTTCGCGTCGAGGCGCTTTTTTATTCCGTCGAGAATCGTCTTGTTTGCCGCTTTGGCTTGACCGTTTCCCTGAGGGTACCGAGGCGTAGACTTGCTGAGGCGAATTCCCCATTTCTCGCAGAATCCTTCGAACCGAGCCGAATAAACTGCGATCCGTTATCTATAACGATCTCGTAAGGTATCCCGTGGCGGCATATGATGTTCTTCCAGACGAAGCTCTCGACCTGCGTGTCTTTGATGCTGGCGTAGGAGTCCGCCTCGATCCATTTGGAGAAGTAGTCTGTCAGTACAAGGACGAGTTTCTTCTGCTTGGAGTTGTGCAGAGGTCCAATGATGTCCATGGACCATCGCATGAACGGATAAGGCGAAGTGATGGAAGAGAGGAGCTCGGCGGGTTGATGAATAGTTGGTGCGTGCCTCTGGCGTTTGATCTTTATAGCTAGGGCTCTCCCGCCAGAATGGTTTCCGCAAGATCCACCGTGTACTTCTTCCATGACTCTCCGAGCTTCATTTCCTTCGACACAGATAAGGAGGGGACCGGAAAATCGCCATTTAAAGAGTTCTCCGTCGATCAGAGTATACCGAGCCGCTTTTGCCTTAAGCTTCCGAGTTGCCCATTTTTCAGTAGGAACTTCTCCATCGGCAATGTAGCTTCGGATGGCTCCGATCCATTTGGCGTCGCTTCTGTATTCGGGCTCGGTTGCGTCCGTAGTTTGCTGGTTTAGCAGTTCGATGTCCATTTCTTCCGGTTCTTCTGTCTCCCGAGCTGTTAGAACTTGATCCTTGCTATTATCTTCAATGCTCGGCTTTTCGATGAACTCGACCGGTATGATTCTCTTCAGATTTGGGTCGGAGGTTGAAGCTAGAGCCGCTAAGGCATCGGCCGATGTGTTTTCACCTCGTGGGATTCTGGTTAACTCAAACTCTCCGAACTGTTTCGCCAAGTCTTGCGTGAGAGCAAGATACGCTTCCATTCGTTCGTCGCGAGCCGCGTATTCTCCATTGAATTGATTAGCCACGAGCTGGGAGTCGCAAAAGGCTCGCAGCTTGTTGATCTTAAGTCCCCGAGCCAGCTTAAGTCCTGCTATCAGCGCTTCATACTCAGCTACGTTGTTAGTCGCGTCGAAATTTAGCCGAAAGGATTGTTCGAGGATTTCACCCTCTGGTGATGCTAGGCGGATTCCGACGCTAGAACCTTGTTTTGAGGATGAGCCGTCGACGTGGAGGATCCAAACAGCGTTGGGTGACTCTTACCGGGCGTTCTCTGTTGGCAGCTCGATGATAAAATCGGCCAGGACTTGAGATTTCGCGCATGTTTTGTTCCTGTATTCGATGTCATACTCGCTGAGTTCTACTGCCCACTTGGCCAGGCGTCCCGATTGGCTCGGACTGTGCAGGATGGTTCGGAGTGATACGGGCGCCATGACGACAATTGAGTGAGACTGGAAATATGGCCGTAGTTTCCGAGCTGACATTACTACGGCGAGGGCGAGCTTTTCAGTTTGCGGGTAGCGTGTTTCCGCGTCGGTGAAAGTTTGCGAGACATAAAATATCGGCTTCTGCTCTCCTCTGTCTTCCCTGACTATGACTCCACTTATCGCCGTATCAGAGACTGCGATGTACAGAAATAATGGCTCGCCCGGGACTGGTTTCGCCAACACCGGTGGATTAGCCAAATACTTCTTCAGTTCCTGGAAAGCTTCTTCGCAGCGATCGGTCCATTCGAATTTCTTGTTCCCGCGCAGAGTATCGTAGAAAGCCAGGCATTTGTCAGTGGACCGCGAGATGAATCGGTTCAAGGCTGCGACTCTCCCGGTGAGACGTTGGACTTCGCGCTTGTTCTGTGGTGAGGGCATGTTCAGTAGAGCATCGATTTGCTTCGGGTTTGCCTCGATGCCTCGGTAAGTTACGAGATATCCCAAGAATTCTCCCGACTTTACCGCGAAAGGACATTTTGCCGGGTTGAGCTTCATATTGTGCTTGTTGAGCTGGCGAAAACAGTCGCGTAGATGGGCTATGTGATCGCTTTCTTCAAGGGATTTGACTAACATGTCGTCGATATAAACTTCCATCGTCTTCCCGAGCTGCTCGGAGAACATCCTGTTGACGAGCCGTTGATACGTTGCGCCAGCATTCTTGAGTCCGAAGGGCATGACTTTGTAACAGTAGATACCTCGGTCTTTGATGAATGCTGTCTTCTCGCGATCGTCGGGGTGCATGAGAATCTGATTGTATCCTGCGAAAGCATCCATGAATGATAGCAACTTATTTTCCGCGATTGCTTCCACTAAGCGATCGATATGTGGGAGTGGAAAACTGTCTTTAGGGCAAGCTTTGTTCAGATCGGTGAAATCGACGCAGACTCTCTACTTGCCGTTCTTCTTTTTAACCATGACAGGATTTGCTAACCAGTCAGGATATCTTGCTTCGGAGATCGAGCCGATCTTCAGGAGCTTTTCTACTTCGGCGTTCACGGCATCTGCGCGATCCCGACCCAATTTTCTTCGCTTCTGCTTGATGGGCTTGAAAGATGGGTCAACATTCAGCTCGTGGCAGATTACGTCGATGCTTACCCCAGGTAGATCTTCAGCCGACCAGGCGAAGGTGTTGATGTTCTCTTTGAGGAATGAGATGAGCTCGGTCTTGATTTCCTCGGTTAAGTCGCTGCCAATTTCCACGCATCGTTCGGGCCGTTCGTCGTTGAGGCTAATGGAGATTATAGGATCCGAGGTAGGCTTCTTCTCCTCGCGCGCCTCCTCGATCTGTAATTGCTATAACTGTTTAGATATAGCTTTCTCTTCACTCCGGCTAAGTTTTGATTTCTTGTGATCGGTTTCAGCCTTCGCTTCAGTGACAGGGTTTCGGAGTTTGTGTGCTGCCATGTAACACATCCGAGAATTTTTCTGACTGCCCCAGATCGTTTTCACGCCATTGGGGGTCGGGAATTTGACACACAGATGATATGTTGATGCGACAGCTCGCATTAGATTTAACCACGGAGTTCCCATTATGACGTTGTAGATGGTAGGTTGATCGGTGACTGAGAAGTTGACTATCTTTGTTACCCCGCCGGCTCGGACTGGTAGTTGGATGGTTCCAAGCGTCATCAAAGTTTCCCCTGAAAATCCGAGGACAGGCCTCGGGGTCGGAATCACCTGTGACATGTCGATGTTCATTTGTCGGAGCGTTTCGCGAAAGACTACGTCGATGGTGCTGCCGGTGTCAATTAATACTCGGTAAATATCATGGTCTCCTATCGCTAATGTGACGACGATTGGATCGTTATGAGGCATGTCGAGCCCGTTTGTCTCGCTTTCTTCGAATGTGATCACGTCGTTAGGTCGATCGAAGCGTCTTGTCCAGTTGCTAGGCGTCTCGGCTCGACGTTGATAAGCTTTGATTGCCGCTACGGTGTCAGGACAGTATGGCGATCCACCCATTATGGTAAGAACCTTCTGCCGCGTACCATCTCGGTCTTCGTCTTCCGACCCCCGGGTTCTTTTCTGAGACTCCTGGTTCCTTGGTTCGGGGTCTCTTCCCGGGTTGGTCTGCTCGGTCTCTGGCTCTGGCTCGA